GATAGGTGGAGAGAGCTGCAAAGGAGCCATTTGGACTGCTGATTCTCAGCAAACAAGCATCATCAGTAGCCCACTTAGTGCAGCTCTGCACTGCTGGAGTGGTGCAAAATACTCAGGACCTGGGACACAGTCTGGTCTTGCCCTTCACAATTTCAGTTAAAAATCAAGGGCTTTTTTAGTCTGCTTTAGGCCATCTTCTATATGTAGCCAAAATACATTAATTAATATATGTACAATAAAGAGAAAGAAATCCTGTGGAGATCAAATCAGAGCTGATCCCTATTCTAATTTAAATATTGCCACTTTGCAGGCTGTGTAAACAATGCTATTTTGTTAAAGTATGCAGAACAATTATTAAATATATTGTAGCAAATATGATCATTACAAAATAAATGTGTATTCAGGTACTTCTAGCCCAATAAGAACATGACACAAAGCCCAGTGAAGTCAAAGGGAGTCTTTCCATTGAGCTCACTGAGCCTTAGGTCAGGCACTGAATGTGCAACGTTTTAAATTAACAGCAAGAGGACTTTTATAAGCTCAAGGCATGCAAATGGTAAGCACTTTTTCTAAACTTATTTTTGTACTTAGTTTCTGGAGTTAGTTTCTGTTGCACCCAGACTATGTCAAATATCAGCCTAAAGTGCATTCTTGCATCTTAATTATGCCTTGAAATCCGGAATTCAACATGAAAATGTTCAAGAAAAAAATATCTTGTGGTGCAATTGCTTGTTGTTAAAATATCGTTCAGTATTTGGCTCCTACTGGAACAACTCCTTGGTAAAAGGTGTAGGGCCAGAATGTGCCTAGATCCAGGCCCAGAAGGTCTCCTCAAAACACAGATCTCACTTTTTCATGACAAAGAGGAAGGGCGTTCAACTGCTTTCGTAGCACCATCTTCTCTTCTGGGGACCTGGCAGAGGGTTCCATTTGAGAGGAGCAGTCAGTGACTAGGTGGGGCAGAGGCTGGAAGTGTTCAGCCCTGCATTGAATGTGGAGACACACACACTGTCCCATCATCAGTCGCATGGACATTACCTGGGAAACATACAGCCCGCTACGCTTTAGTACATTTCTGTGGCTCCTCTCTGCAATATCAAAGGGGGCAGCTGTGTCCAAAGAAAGTCAGTTACTGGTAGGCCAGCTCCAAGGAGGCCATACCATTAGGAGCAGGACAAGGGGATTCCAAATGCAATGTAGAGGCCAAGGCCTCAAGTGGATCCCCTATGATCCATGTGGTTTCCAAGGGTTTGATAGTGTGAAGGCTTTACAACCCCCTCTCTACATTCCCCTTACCTGAGAGAGCAATACAGGAGAATCTCTGAGGGGATCCTCACAGAGATTTCTTTCCCTCAGAATGTTCCCAAGGATTTTACTACAGAAGAGCTTGACCCTTGTTTTGAAGTTAAAGAATTTGGGAGGTTACCTGGGGTTGCTCTTGGAATAAAAACAATGACATCAGGATTAAATGTACTACAGCCTAGAGTCATAAGAAAGGTGATTCTAGTTGGGTTTAATGTAGCTCGGAGACAAAGTACATTAACCATCTGTCAGGATATTGTATGAACAAGGGTGTCTCCATACACAATAGCTTCAGTTTCTCTATGATACTTGAGACTGTCTCATTTTAAAATGCCCAAGGGGATTTTTATAGACAAGTATTATTTTCAAGATGACAAGAAATAACTAATTTACATCCACACACAAAATAAGCTAAATAAACAAAGTCATAAACATTCTCAAAGGAAAAAGTAGTGGAGGAAGAATTTATTTTTTCACCCTTTTGTTTCTATTTTTCTTTTGAAAAAAAAGAAAAGAAAAAATCTTAGTGCAGAGGATGGGGAAGTAATGGGAAGAAAGTATCAGGCATACAAGGCCAAATTTCCCCAGGCCCCTGCCCCTCGCACCCAGAGCCAAAGACTGGAGAGCCCTCCTGGGTAACTGGTGGATGGGTCCAATGTCCCTGCATGGCTGTGCACATCAGATACACTGCATGCCTTTGTCCATTGGGATGCAGAAAGGCTGCAATTCAGGAAAGCATTTAAGCATGTTCGTAAGTTCATCCCTATTCTACAAAGCCCTTAACTTTAAGCAGGTGCTGAAATCCCATTGATTTCAATGGGCAAAATTTTCAAAAGCACCCACATGACTTAGGAGACTAAATTTCTTAGGAGCTTTCGAAAATGTTACCTGGTATGACATAAACAGGTGCCTAAAATTAAGCATAGAATCATAGAACCAGGGTTAGAAGGGACCACAAGGGTCATCTAGTCTAAACCCCTCCAAGAAACAGGATTTATTATGTCTAAACCATCGAAAACAGATGGCTATCCATCTGTAGGTAGGTAATTATACATGATGCACTCAGTGCAATAAACTGGATAGTCCCCCACTCTGCTGATGGACTTGTGCCTGCATTAGTTTCATTACTGCAGAAGTTTTTTATTTTTTCTTTGTCTTTTGGGCTGGGTTTATTGGCCTAAGTTTAGAAATACTGGCTACTGATAGTTTGGACTGATCATCTTTTGCAGAGTCAGAATCTTCTAATCCAAACTCTTCTTCATCCACTAAACTATAAATAAAAAGTTCTTAATCAACACTGCTCAGATAATTTCAAGGATTTCTAAATACATTCGAAAGGAACACCTACAAGGGTTTTTGATTAAGTTATTACTACACTAGCTGCAGTCAGTATTTTAATTCTTTTTTCCTCCTTTGAAAATGTTTGCTTTGTAACATTCTATAATAATAGAATTATCTGTAAATGATTCCTCACTGGGCTAGTTAGGGTACCAATTTTCTATATGAATAGAAGGAGTCTTGAGCTGCATAAATAGTGTCTATATTGACCATTTCCAAAATTAAATCATTACTTGGGAAGTCTGTGAAATTAATCAGTGGAACACAAATACTCATTAAATTGTCTGATGTAATCCATCACCCAGTACAGAGTTATTCCCTTTTCTGTGCTTATAATGTCCAATTAACTATTAATGGAACAAGCCTATGCAGACATTTTAAAGGATGTCAAAGACCACTGTATTAAAATTAAAAAGTCATGTGTAAAGTAATAATTTGATAAGAATATTTTATCAAGGTCTTTTTCACAGGGAAAGTGTCAATTTCTGTTTGGGAATGTCCCTATTCAGAAACTGGAGTGTCCTAACCACTGGGCCGTCCTTCTCTCTTGAGAAGAAAGCATTGCCCAGTGGCTAGAGCCTTGAACTTAGGAGCCCTGTTTAAATTTCCTGCTCCACCACAAACTTCCTGTGTGACCTTAGGCAAGCCATGTAGGGTATCTCTACACAGCAATACGACACCTACATCTCGCTTGTGTTAGCTGACTAGGACTAGTGGAGCTCAGGCTGTGGGAGTATAAAATTGCAGTGTAGACATTTGGGCTCTGGGGCCCCACCAGTTGGGAGGGTCCCAGAATCTGTGCTCCAGCCCGAGCCCCACAAGCCTTAGTCAGCTGACATGGACTAGCCATGGGTGTTTCATAACAGTGAAGTCATACCCCCAGCCTCTCTGTGCCTCAGTTCCTCATCTGTGAATGGGTCTAATAGCACTTCCCTATCTCACAGTGGTGTTGTGAGAATAAATGCACATTAAAAGATTGTGAGGTGATTAGATCCTGTGGTGATTGGGTCCAGATAGGTACCTAAGATAGACTGATAGGGCCTGATCCAATTTCCATTGAAGTCAACAGAGACACTCCAGTGGGAGTTGTTTTGATCCCTAGAGGCCTGATCCTGCACTATTGAAATCATTGTGACTTTTGCCATGGACTTCAATAGAAGCCCTAAATCAGTTATGTAATCATAGAATTATAGAAATGTAGGACTGAAGGGACCTCAGAAGGAGCAACAGGGGATGGATCACTTGATGATTACCTGTTCTGTTCATTCCCTCTGGGGCACCTGGCACTGGCCACTGTCGGAAGACAGGACACTGGCCTAGATGGACCTTTGGTGTGACCCAGTAGGGCCATTCTTATGTTCTAATGTCATCGTGTCCAGCCCCCTGCACTGAGTCAGGACCAAGTAATCCATCCCTGACAGGTGTTTGGCCAACCTGTTCTTAAAAACCTTAAAAATGCTGGCAATTCCACAAACTCCCTTGGAAGCCTATTCCAGAGTCTACTCTAACCCTTATAGTACTCTAGCTGAAACCTCACTGGTGCCAAGTAGAACAGGACAATTACCTTCTATGTCCACTTACCACACTCCCCAGAATATTTGTCTTTTTTTGCAGCTGCATCACCTTGTTGGCTCATATTCCATTTGTGATCACTATGACCCCCAGATCCTTTTCAAAAGTACTATGTACCTCAAGTTGCTGACTGAGGAGATATCTGAGCCATTAGCAATTATCTTCAAAAAATCATGGAAGACAGGAGAGATCCCAGAGGACTGGATGAGGGCAAATATAGTGCCAATTTATAAAAAGGGGAATAAGGACAACTGGGGGAATTACAGTTCAGTCAGCTTAACTTCAGTACCCAGAAAGATAATGGAGCAAATAATCAAGCAATCAATTTGCTAACACCTAGAAGATAATAAGGTGATAAATAACAGTCAACATGGATTTGTCAAGAAAATATCATGTCAAACCAACCTAATAGACTTCTTTGACAGGGTAACAAGCTTTGTGGATAGTGGGGTATCACTGTACCTCAGTGGGTCACAGCTGAGAATACCAGATTCAGGACAAACTGCTGAGAAATAGGGAAGACTCAACCCAGCTAGTGTCATTAAATATACCAAGCCGTTAACAAAAATAAACTTCTGTCTTCACACTGGTTAACAACAAGTCAAAAATATAGTCTCCTTAGGCATTCCAGCCCGTATCTCACCATCCAGCCCCTAGACTTTATGATGAGTGGTTATTGAAAACCAATTTCATCAAATAAAGGGTGATCTCAAGAGGCCAGCCACGTAGCCAGGTCAATATATAACTCAGATCTTACCCAATTGTGCTGATGCCAATTCTTTAGCATCTAAAATCTAAAGGTTTATTTATAAGAGAAAAGAAGAAGAAAGTTAAAATGGTTAACAGATCATATCCATACAAATATTCCAATGTTCTTATATCAGGTTTGTAGCAGTGATGTTATAGACTGCTGGCTTGTAAAGTCTCTGGTAACTTCCAAAAGACTGGAAGGTCCTCAGTCCATAGTTCAAATGTGCTCCTTTTAGTTGTAAGTCCACAGTTCAGAGAATCAGAGCAGGAAAGAGGCAACATGGAGATGATTCAAGGATCTTTTGTACCCTCTGTCAGGTGCTTGGAATTTTACTGTCCCAGAACAAAGCTCACCACACAGTTTGTGGAAAATTACTGGCACAAGATAGAGTCCAGGGTCACATGAGTATATCACACGTCCTTACTCACGGGGCAGCCATTACCCATATTCTGACAGGGGAGTCCATAGGAAGACTCACCATTGAGACAGCCTTCTCCTATGGCCCATTGTTAGAGTGAAGTATCCTTTAATGGGCCATTAAACTTGAATAGTCTCTTCAGAGTGCACTGGCTAGGCTGGATGTAAACTACCTTGTAGGTGTTACCCTAGGAACAACATATTTAAAATATATATGCATAGCCAATATTCATACCGTCAGATATAGTGATGATACATGGATTTAAAAAGGATAATCTTATCTAGTAAATCATAACTTTTCCATTGACACCATACATGGCATACTTTGTACAAGATTTGTTGGAATTGTCTAACAGTAGCAAAATTAATTATATAAATGGTCATATTTCAATCATACAGCAACACAGGGGGAAGTGGGAGATGTGGTATATCTTGACTTTAGTAAGGTTTTTGATACTGTCTTGCATGACCTTCTCATAAACAAACTAGGGAAATATAGCCTAGATGGCACTACTATAAGGTGGGGCATAACAGGTTGGAAAACCGTTCCCAGAAAGTAGTTATCAATGGTTCACAGTCAAACTGGAAGGTCATATTGAGGGGGTTCTCTCAGGGGTCTCTGAGGGGGATTGCAAGTGCTTTGGAGGGTAGGATTTAAATTCAAAATGATCTGGACAAACTGGAGAAATGCTATGAAGTAAACTGGATGAAATTCAATAAGGACAAATGCAAAGTACTCCATTTAGGAAGGAACACTCAGTTTTACATATACAAAATGGGGAATGACTGCCTAGAAAGGAATATTGCTGAAAGTGGATCACAAGCTAAATCTGAGTAAACAGTGTAAAACTGTTGCAAAAAGAGCAAACATCATACTGGGATGTATTAGCAGGAGTATTGTAAGCAAGACACGAGAAGTAATTCTTCTGCTCCACTACATGCTGATAAGGCCTCAAATGGAGTATTGTGTCCAGTTGTGGGCACCGCATTTCAGGAAAGATGTGGACAAATTGGAGAAAGTCCAGAGGGGAGCAACAAAAATGATTAAAAGTCTAGAAAACATGACCTATGAGGAAATATTGAAAAAAAAATTGGTTTGTTTAGGCTGGAGAACAGAAGACTGATAGGGGACATGATAGCAGTTTTCAAGTACATAAAAGGTTGTTACCAGGAAGAGGGAGAAAAATTGTTCGCCTTAACCTCTGAGGATAGGACAACAAGCAATGTGCTTAAATTTTTGCACTTGTCTTTATTAAATTTCATTAAATTTCATCTTGTTGTATTCTGACCAATTCTCCAATTTGTCAAGGTTGTTTTGAATTGTAATCCTGTCCTCCAGAATGCTCGCAACCTCTCCCAGCTTGGTGTTATCTGCAAATGTTATAGGCATACTCTCCACTCCATTACCCAAGTCAGTAATGAAAATATTGGATAGTACTGGACCCAGGACAGACTCTCTGTAGGACCCCACTAGATGTGCCCTCCCAGTTTGACAGGAAAGCATTGATCACTACTCTTTGAATACTGTCTTTCAACCAGTGGTGCATCTATCTTATAGTTATTTCATCTAGACCACATTTCCCTAGTTTGCTTCTGAGAGTGTCATGTGGGACTGTATCAGAAACCTTACTAAAATTACGCTATATCATGCTACCCCCCATCCAGACTAAGCCAATAATGAAATGAGGCATGTGGCATAGTGGATAGAGAACTAAACTGGGACCCAAAAGCATTGATTTGATTCCCAATGCTGCTGGATAACCTGGAGCTAATCACTTCCCTTCTCTGTGCCTTAGTTTCCCCATCTATTAAATAGGGATAATTAGATTAATCTCCTCTGTAAAGTGCTTTGAGACCTATTGATGAAATGTGCCATATAAGACCTATTATTATTATACTATCTCATCTAGGTTGATGCAGTCATATCAAAATACTTGGCTATACTTTATACATTTTTTAAAATGATGTGTGGGGGTGATGGCTGGGAGACATCTGTGAATCTTTGGGGATTTTGTAGCTGAATGGTTATGAAGTGTTGTCTTCATGGCTACTTTTGTATTCAAAGAATTCCAAGAAGAGTTTGACAGATGAAAATTGTTCAGTTTTAAGCAGAAGGTTAGAGGCTTTGGGTGTTGCTTTTTATCTTCAAATTATAAATATATCTGCTTTGTACCTGGACTACACCAGAGGCTTGATGGTACACTGTTTGAAACAGAAAACCAGATCACAGTCATGGAAAGATTGGAGTTAGGTACATCTAAATGAATGAGGTACATTGCTAACTTCAAAACAATATTGTAAACAATACAAGAGTATATCCATGTACCATTTAGGGAAATATGTTATAATCCCCACTTATAATATAAGAGTACTGAATATTTATATAGGATTGTGTTCTATATTCATTTAATTTTCCCAGCATTCTTTCCAGAGTTCAGTGCAATATAGCAAAAAAATTTTATCTCATGGTGTTTTCCTTTGTGGGAGATCTGAAGTAGACTTTGGTGTATGGTAGTCAAAAACATTTACAAGAGTAAAGTATACCTCTCAGCTGGCAGCAGCTGGCACTCAATAGGAATAACTCAGACATATAGACATGATTAAGTTACTAATACAATATGCAGTACACAAAATGGGAAGAAACAAGCACACACTGGCATAGATCCAGCCCAAGTACTCAGCGTCAGATTTTTAAAGGTATTTAGGTGCCTAAAGATGCAGGTAAGTGTATAGTGGGATTTTCAAAATCACCTAGGCATCTGTAATCAATGGGAGGTAGACAACTAACCTGCTTAAAGAAAAGGAGTACTTGTGGCACCTTAGAGACTAACCAATTTATTTGAGCATGAGCTTTCGTGAGCTACAGCTCACTTCATCAGTACTTCTGAAAATCTCACGGTGTGCCTATCTTTCTCTTTAGAGGCTTGTAACATGCTGGACCCCAAAGTAGCATCCTGTAACCCCCATTTTCATCATTCATATGTAGTTGTGATATTTCATACAACATGCCATGAAAGATATCATAAGAAAGGTCATGATCTGCTGAAACTGACTGTTCTGTCAAAGTATGTAAGTCATTAATATGTATGAAGTAATGAGATTTTGCTGAATAGTTGTTATTGAAATATGTTGTAAATTTGGGAGTCTTCATTGCTAGTTCTCCACTGACAACAAAAGAGGTGATCCACTCGCAGGAGGGTGTTACATGACCATTAATCAGCAGGGGAGTTGTAAACAAGGGATTTACAGTTCTGTAAGAGAAGCACCATACAATGTGCTGTGATTCAGCAAAGCCCTCCAGGACATGTCTGAGGGCTAGTCTACACTGGCAATGTTAAAGCGCTGCTGCGACATTGCTTGTGTAGTTGCGGCAGAGCGCTGGGAGAGAGCTCTCCCAGCACTCTAAAAAAAACACCTCCACAAGGGGCGTAGCTACTAGTGCTGGGAGCGCGGCTCCCAGGGCTGGTGCACTGTCTACGCTGGTGCTTTACAGCGCTGAAACTTGCTGCATGCAGGGGGGTGTTTTTTCACACCCCTGAGCAAGAAAGTTGCAGCGCTGTAAAGTGCCAGTGTAGACAAGCCCTGAGCTAGTGTTTTCCAGGCACATCGACTGAGAATATAAAATAGGGGACATTGGAATCATTCTTTTCGTTTCTCCTCCCCCACCTTTGCTGCAAGAAACAAGAATGCTGGAAAGACAATGACTTGAACTGAAGAGACTGGTCCCAGGCTTAAAGGGGAAGCCTGTGAATTAAGAACTATAACCTACCTGCAACATCCAATGGGGTGAGAAAAATTGCTTGATCTAAATCTTGCTTAGTCTAATAAGGTTTAACATTTAGACTGTGTGCTTACCTTTTATGTTCTTTGGTAACTATCTCTGACCTTTTATGCCTACCACTTATAATCACTTAAAATCTGTCTTTCTATAGTTAATAAATAGGTTTTATATTAAACGTAAAACAATGTGTTTTGGTTGAAATGCTTGGGAAATTTCAGCTCAATTTACAAAGGCTGGTATGTGTCCTTTCCACATCGAGGGAGGGGCGGACTGGGTAATAAACTTACATTGGTTGGGCTTCTGACCAGGGCAGGACTGTATATTCCAGGGATTCAAATCTGGGGGTTTGGGACATTTGCTGGTGCCTTTCTCTGTGTAATTCATGAGTGGCTCTGGGAGCATTCATGCAATCTAGCTGGGTGTGGGGCTCCACATGCTGTTGTGCTGAGTGATGACAGTGGCTGGAGGGGTTTGCAGCTTGTCACTAGCAAAGCATTTTGAGAGACAGCACAGGCTGGAGAGTTAAGGGGGCACAGCGGTACCCCAGTTCCAGGTTGTACCCTGGGGATCAAGTTACAGGGCCTAAATATCTTTGAATAGCTGAAAAGCTGATGTCCTCTGATGACTATTTGGAAGTGTATGTGAAAAAAATGGGTGATCTTAGTCCAGTTCCAGTCAGATAGGTGTCAATGGCATAACCACAAGTGGCACTAATTGGCAGACGTGTAGGCAGTCTATACATCACTTAAAGGTGGTGCCTTCTAAACAGCTTTGATGGGAAGCTTGTATTGCCCCTACTCATACTTTACCTGTTAACGGAAGTTTCCTCATCCTGTGTTATACAAGAGGTCGGACTAGATGATCATAATCATCTCTTCTGGTCTTAGACTATATAAATCAATGAAATGTCAGTCCTGAACCTTTCCTGAGCTTTGAATTCACTCCAAGATAACTAAGAAATTGTTCCCGCAGAAGTAGTAGTCAGTTCCCAACTACCCACAAACAAGATGATCAGGGAAACATTTACACATTGGTCTGCATGCAGTGTTGTTTTCCTGAGGTGACATTCTTGCCAGGTCAGAAGGCGTGTACCAGACCACTTAAACCCTTACACCCAAATTCTACCCTATTGCCCAGCCAGAGTAATTAAGGAACTGTGGGGGAGGGGGAAGGGGGGGAATTGAAAGTAATCCTCCTTCCTAGGCAATTGAGGCTCTGCTCCCACTCTCTGCAACAGAAGCTGAAGGGCTAGCATGGCCCCTCCAGTCCTTTTTCCCTGCCAGCAAGAATTGTGGACTCATGCAATGGCACTTCCCTCAGCCCTGCCCCTTAACACCTGCTGTGCATGGCCATATCAGGAACCTATTCAAATCATAGTACTAGAATAGCAACCAGCAGGTACTCTATCCTTCCCTTTACAGCAGAATTACGATTAGGGCCCTCTCCATCCCCAGAGGTAGGATAAAGGTGGGGAGCCTTAACATGGGACTTAACTGGTACACAGGATTTTGTGCGGGCTTTTGGCACTGAGGTAAATTTCACCCTAAGAATAGTAACAGTTGGTGGTGTGTTAATTTTGATGGAATAAATGAGCACAAAGAGTCATGGTATTATATGACCCTGTCACTGTCCAACATTAAACAGTGTTAAACAAGGTTTGGGGTTTGGTTTACAGACACCTTAGCCTGCTTAGTATCATGGCAAATGCACCATTAATTATTTTTATCCTTTTATTGTATATACAGAAAAGAAGGAAAAACAGTTAAAGCATTTGAAATGTAAAGTATTTAAGTATGGCTTTTATTTATTTTAACCATAACCCTTCTTCCCTTTGCCTTTAGGAAAACCCACCTCTTTGACAGTTTTTCAGGTGGTACTAAAGATGGTAATAATAGTCCTTTTCTAGAGAAAGAGAATTTAATTGAGCTGGCCTGGAGTGGTTGTTTTTAAAGTCCAATCCCATTTCCTACAAAACAAGACAAACACACACAGGAGGAGAGAAAAGAACAGCAAAGATAGAAAATACAGCTTATGCTCAAATAAATTTGTTAGTCTCTAAGGTGCCACAAGTCCTCCTTTTCTTTTGTCTTTAGTGTTGACTCTTATCTGCAACCTTACTGTTGGAAAAACACAGGCATGGCACATGGCCTTTGTAATAGGGTGCTTAGAAGGCGGACTAGTGATTGGCATGCCTGATTGCCATCCCCTTTCTTCCCTGATAGAGGTAGCTCAGTCCTTAAGGAGGTGTGGTAGGAGGACTTGAGCCTGCCCTCTCCACCAGGTCCCAGCCCAGGGTCCTGTGTGAAGCAAAATCAGTAGAATCCTCTGAGCAAAGAGTCTAAGTCCACTGCTTGGGGCTACTTCCTACCTCTGTTTCTTCAGTCTGGGGCATGGTCTATATAGTCCAAACAGTCTGTAGTGATTTGACTCGAGTAGTGCCCCATTGTGAACCTTTTGCAGTATCCTGCCAAAGCCTGGGGTCCTCTGGGCGAGGCAGATGTAACATTGGAGGGGCCTAACCCCATCATGTCTCTATAGTTAAATCATACAGTTCATCCACTGCTGGGTGCTCCTCAGTCTCTTCAGCAGTCTCCCTTGGACAGGGACGCAATGCTTCTTCTCCACCGGCTGTCCCAGCTACCAGGTTTGTAGAAACACTCCCCTCATGTAGAGAAGCAGAGCTACTTCCTGCCTCTTCAACAGTCAGCTCTGAACTGAGTCAGGTTCCCTCCTTTTCTTCTGCCTCCAGGCCAGGCATTGGCTGCTGGTATAGCAGGATGGGGCTAGCTGGGCCTATAGGCTGTCTTTCACCCTTCTCATGCTGGTGTGCGGTTTCTCAACCTCATCAGTCTTATTAGCCACTCTGAAATCTGGCAAACTTGTACCAGCATCAGGCTATTTAGAGCATTGCTTTTAGTTGCCTCCCTGATCACAGGCTTACAGCAGTGTTGCACAATATCCTGTCTTAGCTGGCTAAGCCAGATTCTTCCTAGACAGAAGGAAAAAGGAGAGAGATAGGAAAGGGAAGACAATGAGATGGTGAAGGAAAAGGACATGTGGGGTGGGGTTGGGGGTGACAAAGTCTCCTAGGTCATGGTTGGGATTTAGTTGGAGATGGCAATGTTATCTGGGTCTCTCTCTGGCCCAGTTTGATCAGGATATTTAGGTTTAGGATGATGGAGGCCCAATGGTGGATCCCAGGGTACAGGAGATGTGGAGATGGCAGCCATGATGGAAAACTCAATCTTATCCTGTTCTTCTGTCTTTTTCCTCAGTGATTCTTGGGGGGGCGGAGGAGGGTGTTAAGTATTTTTTTTATTTTAAGGACCCCAAAAGGGAACGATGGGTGCAATGACCCATCCCCTCATTGTTTTGTCGACCAGTCAGGCCTAATTCTTGACACCCAATTTTGATTCATTTA